CAAAAAAGAATGAAAGAAAAGATGAGATGAGATGCATTGACAAAGTGAGGAAAATATAAAAGGAATGGTATTGACTGAAAGGCAAATAGGATAAGATAAAAATGCAAGGATGATTTGAAGAGAGAGATGTACATGAATTCTAGAGATTGTTGCCTATGGGGAGAGGCCTCTTCAGGATGGGATAAAAGATGAGAAATGTTACTAGGGCTAACCAGGACAAGGCACTAATCCTAAAGGTTGGCAAAAAGACCTTGTTCCTTAATTTGGCTTTGGCTGAACTGCATATAGACTTTAGTCTATAAGAAATTTAGAAATTAATATTATATAATATACAAGTATTATTACAATTACTTAGTACTACTACTGCTATTTTCTTATTTTTGTTGTTATTATTGATAATTGGTTATAATTTTATTACTGATATTGTTATCATTACTTTTATTACTGCAATTACAGTTATTCTTTTTTTACTCATAATCAGTGAATGAATAATGCCCATCACTTATCACAACTATTATCACTGATTTTTTAAGAGGTATATTGATTGTGTCTGTCCTTTGTTCATATCTTTGACAACAATGAAACTACTGCTACTCCATCAGCTAATATTATAGTAACTATTCTTTTGAATTGAATAAATGCATTTCCATCTCTTCAAGGAGATGTAAACATTCATCAGGCCTTTTCTGGATACAGTTACTATTTGGAAATGAACAACCTTTGAATTGGCCGTTTCACCGAGTCCTTCCCCGCTGCCTGTCATTGGAAATTTTCTTGCCTCACATTTGCCTGAGACATAGACCATCCCCTTCTTTCAGGGACAGGCCTTTCATTATCTTAGTTTTTGTGATTTCCTTATTATTCCCTTTTTTTATAACCAAGGGTAATTAATTGCCCTAGTATAGTATATTGAAGAAAAATAACTAAGACAAGAAAATTATATGAAAGCAGGAAAATATTTAATTGAAATTTATTATTTTTAAAAACTACTGTGACACTTTGATGATATCTTACTACATCTGCCTTACTACATTCTGATAGTGACTGAGAAAATGGACATAATTTTTGAACACATATGGAAGAGATATCATGATTATTTAATCCATTAGGGTCAGGTGCTGTGCTATCACATGCTTGTGAATAATGCTGCCTGATGGTGCCTCGTTGTGTCATTATTCTAAGTTTTGATTAGTGGGATGAGGTCACACACACACTTTCACAAACTGGGCAATACTGCAAGTGCAGAATGCACAAACAAACATGGCTTGGCCTTACCTGATTGATTGCTGTTGTCAGGTTAAAACTGACATTCAATTTAAATATGAATTTTGTGGGATATAATTTGTTCAACAGTATAAAGAATCTTAACCCGATGCTGACAGGATGTGCCCACAGGGAGTTTACTTTAGATGGCTCCACAGTTAATCACCAATGAGTCGATTGCTAATCCTGCTTATCTCAACAGTCTATCATTTTCCTTGATTTTTGGAAATGTTTTTTTTATTTTATATTATAATTAGTATTGTTGATAACAGCATCAGTATTAATAGCATTAGTGAAGAAAATCACAATAACTCTAAGAAGTGGAGAACCAGGTAATAGCATGTAGACTGTTAAATAATTTTTTGGTGTACAAGCACTTGTGGAGCCATCTGTGTGTAGATACATTTCACAGAACAACACTACAGGGATCATCACATTTTCTGGTGGCATTGGGTTAATGTTTGGTATGGAAAAATGGCATTGCATATCCATTTTTTAGAATTTGAGTTTTAATAATTTTGGAAGGGATATTTTCTGGTCCAGAATTATTCTTCTGAAGATGTTATCTCATCATGCTATAAATTGTATATGTGTAATTTGTCATTTCTGTGCATGGAGGTCATATTTTCTGTTGGTAATAACTGATATATTGTTTTTTTCTATTTGTTAATAGTCTCCAGTCAAAGCATGGTTGCAATGTGATTTTACAGTTGCTTTAGTTTTCTTCCATATGCTGCTAAATTTGTATTTCTTTGTTATTTGCAGGAAAGGCCTAGAAAAACATGTATATTTTTGAGATGGATTTTGTTATAAGTAGAATTCACATGGGATTTAAGTCCTGGAAAATTAGCAAGCAGTGTTGCCATCTGCAGACATTCCCACCAGAATAAGCTTGAAAGGCTAAGATTTTCCATAACTCATTAGATATAATTTCTTTTAATATATATGAGAAACATGTATTATTTTTATCACATAAATTGACAGACTGATATATGTAACTAATGATGTGTATAGCAAATTAAACCATTTCATGATAGACTTGAGGGTACTGAGTTTAAAGGGATGCTCCAAACCCAGAAACAGTTCTGATATTTTTGTAAAATTTTACTCTTTGGTATCACATGACGAAGTTAATCAACAAATGGAATTTACGTAATTAGTTTTAATGTCATCTGCATGTAATGTATTGCTACCATGCAACAAATTTGAGTTTTGGGAAAAGCATGAGATGCATTTTCTCTCTCTCTTTCTCTCTGTATCTCTGTCTTTCTGTCTGTCTCTATGTCTGTCTGTCTCTCTGCTTCCTCCTCTCTGCTTTCTGCTCTCTGCTTTCTGCTTTCTGCTTTCTGCTCTCTGCTTTCTGCTTTCTCCTCTCTGCTCTCTGCTCTGCTTTCTGTTCTCTGCTCTCTCTTCTATCTGTCTGTGTCTGTCTGTCTCTTTTTCTCTGTCTCTCTCTGTCTCTTTTTCTCTTTTTCTCTTTTTCTCTTTTTCTCTTTTTCTCTGTCTCTGTCTGTCTGTCTGTCTGTCTGTCTGTCTGTCTGTCTGTCTGTCTGTCTGTCTGTCTGTCTGTCTGTCTGTCTCTCTCTCTCTCTCTCTCTCTCTCTCTCTCTCTCTCTCTCTCTCTCTCTCTCTCTCTCTCTCTCTCTCTCTCTCTCTCTCTCTCTCTCTCTGTCTCTGTCTCTGTCTCTGTCTCTCTCTCTCTCTCTCTCTCTCTCTCTCTCTCTCTCTCCCCTTGTCTCTCTGTCTCTCTGTCTCTCTGTCTCTGTCTGTCTGTCTGTCTCTGTCTCTGTCTGTCTGTCTGTCTCTGTCTGTCTCTGTCTGTCTGTCTGTCTGTCTGTCTGTCTGTCTGTCTGTCTGTCTGTCTGTCTGTCTGTCTGTCTGTCTCTCTCTCTCTCTCTCTCTCTCTCTCTCTCTCTCTCTCTCTCTCTCTCTCTCTCTCTCTCTCTCTCTGTCTCTGTTTCTCTCTCGCTCTGTCTGCCTATCTGTCTATCTCTGCCTATCTGTCTGTCTATCTCTGTCTGTCTCTCTGTTTGTCTGTCTGTCTCTCTCTCTGTCTCTCTCTCTGTCTCTCTCTCTCTCTCTCTCTCTCTCTCTCTCTCTCTCTCTCTCTCTCTCTCTCTCTCTCTCTCTCTCTCTCTCCTCTCTCTCTCTCTCTCTCTCTCTCTCTCTCTCTCTCTCTCTCTCTCTGTCTCTGTCTCTGTCTCTGTTTCTCTCTCGCTCTGTCTGCCTATCTGTCTATCTCTGCCTATCTGTCTGTCTATCTCTGTCTGCCTGTTTGTCTATCTCTGTCTGTCTCTCTGTCTGTTTGTTTCTGTCTCTCTCTTTACTTCAATGTTTAAAATCAATTTCATTATGTTTTCTAGCATCTTGTGTTGATGACACCAAAATCTATTTCTTTTCAAACCTAAGTGCTGGTTGATCCCATTTTGCTATGGAGCACAGTGTCCATTATAATCCGTTATAACTTTTAGGTATTTGTTTTTGTGTAACAGAAAACAGAAAACAGAAAACAAGGAGGAATCATATTGTAAAGCATCTCTGTAGTTATGCATTTCATTAGAAAAGAAACCAGTTTGTGAAGCATTGAAATCCATTGTGCTTACTACTTAACCCAATGCCGACGGGTATGACGTGTACGTATGTGCTATGCCCACCGTAAGTACTTGTTTGATTGTTTTTACACATAGATGGCAACACTTGTACTAACTCCCCAATGAGCCAGGTACGAGTACCGTCCATCTCGCCCGTTTACCCTTTTCTTTGATTTACGAAATATTTTACGCTATCTTATTTTGCTGTTGCTAATGTTAAAAAACATTATAAAAATTATAATGTTTATGATAGAAATAACCATTGATTTTCACAGCACTAGTGAAAAATACGTTTTTCCCGCCATTTCAAATCAGGCGCTAGCAGAGCCATTTATCGGCAGACATTTCATGAAAACAGAAAATAGGAACAGCATTTTCCCCATTTTTTGTTCATTTTCCCTGGCGGCATTGGGTTAACTGCTAATAGAAGCATTAGGCAGATGCTAAGTAGTGCCATCAACAGCTTTACTCTTCCAAACATGCCAAGCACATACACCAGAAATGATTTAGATAAGATAACATAGAAAATTCTAATAGGATGGGTATGTAGTTTAATTTGACTTCATTTCAGAGTTATATACCAATGATCGAAAGTATTGCAATTGTTATGTGACCCTTTCAGTCTTATTTAAGCATATTTCTGTAACAAGAAATGCTTGCAATAAATCAGACATCAGCTGCAAAACAAATTCAAGTTGCTAGACAGGATTTGCATTCAGTAAACTTGCTGCTACAACTCAATAGAAGGATAATCGATGATATTTGCTTCAGTTGATGTGCATGAAAACCTCTAGAATTAGTGAGAAAACTGTCCAAATGGCAACACTGTGAGCAAGGTAAAATGCATTTGTCTTGTGGTGTTGTTTTTGTTTTATGTTTCATATGTCTCTGTGGTGGGAATTGTATATTCAGTTGCTAGGACAAAGGAAAACATGGTTTACCTGAAGCTTTTACTAATTTACATTACAATATATAAAGGAAAACTATATTTAGGACACAAACTCCTTTTAGTGTTTAGATTATATAATTATCTGTTTCTTCATCCATAAGTATTATACCATAAATAGTATTCTATTGACTCAGTCGTATTTCTATTCCTATCATCAAATTGTCATTTGACTAACAGAACTGTATTCTTGCATGCAG